CATCGACGGCCAGCTTCTCCAGCCTGACCAACCTCTCTCTTATCCTTATTTTTCCCTTATAAAAGATAGGTTGTATCGGGTGACCCAAGATACCCAGACAAAAAGAGATACAACCCAGTTATTAGTCCCAAAAAGCCTTTGGGAAATGCTTTTCCAGGCGGCTCATAGTAGTCCCATGGCAGGCCACTTGGGGGAGGCAAAGACACATGAACGACTCATGGCCCAATTCTTTTGGCCTGGCATTCACAAGAACACCCGCCAGTGGTGTGCGGGGTGTCATGTATGTCAGCTGGTAAATCCTCCGGCCAGTTCTAAAGCGCCATTGCGTCCGTTACCACTGATAGAGGTCCCCTTCGAGAGAATTGGTATGGACCTCATCGGGCCATTGGAACGTTCAGCACGCGGGCATCGTTTTGCATTAGTTCTGGTGGACTATGCAACACGATACCCGGAAGCAGTGCCGCTGCGCACCATCTCTGCAAAGAGTGTGGCGGACACACTGTTTCGAGTCATCTCCCGAGTGGGGATCCCCAATGAGATTCTCACTGATCAGGGCACGGCGTTTATGTCATGTACTTCAAGCGAACTACACGAACTTCTGGGCATTAAATCGATTCGCACCAGTGTCTATCACCCACAAACGGACGGCTTGGTGGAACGATTTAATCACACGTTAAAATCCATGGTTCGTAAGTTTGTTAAGGAGGACACCAAAAATTGGGAAGCTTCTCTATGGTCGTCAGCCCCGCGGGGTGCTTGACGTCATTAGAGAGGCTCGGGAGGAGGGGCCTTCAAACAGCTGTAGTGAAATTCATTATGTCATGGACCTCCGAGCAAAACTCAACACTCTGGGGCGGCTTTCTGTGGAGAATTTGCTCCAGGCTCAGGACCGACAAAGTCGGCTGTACAACAGGGGTACGCGAGCACGTCAATTTACACCGGGAGATAAAGTGCTTGTATTACTGCCAACATCTAGTTCTAAATTACTCGCTAAGTGGCAAGGACCTTTTGTGGTTACACGGCGAGTGGGGGATCTCGATTATGAGGTAACGCGAACGGACCGAGGTAATTCATGTCAAATATATCATCTCAATCTTTTAAAACGTTGGAATGAGGTGACCTCGGTGGAGTTAGCGGCGGCCGTTTTGGCAGAGGAAGATCTCGGACCAGAAGCAGCTGTCAAAACCAATCCGTTCGCTCTGGTCCCCGGGGGAGATCACCTCTCGCCGCTGCAGCTCACCCGGCCATGCTAGGGTTGGGAGTAATAGAAGAATCGCATAGCGACTGGGCGAGCCCGATAGTTTTAGTGCCTAAAACGGACGGCTCCGTCCGGTTCGGTGTTGATTATAGAAAGGTGAATGCAGTGTCGAAATTCGATGCTTATCCAATGCCCCGAGTTGATGAGCTGCTTGATCGGTTAGGTTCGGCTCGCTTTTATTCGACACTGGATTTAACGAAAGGAAATTGGCAGATCCCCTTGTTGCCATTATCCAAGGAAAAAACAGCCTTCACAACGCCGTTAGGGTTACACCAATTTGTTACTCTTCCATTCGGGTTGTTCGGGGCTCCCGCCACCTTTCAGCGTCTCATGGACAAGATTCTCCGGCCATATAGCGCTTACGCCGCTGCCTATCTCGACGACATCATTATACACAGTAATGATTGGCAGCGGCATCAAATTGGCAAGACGGCTGCGATTGCGGCTTGCCCAAGTCCCAAGACCAAAAAGGAGGTGAGACAGTTCCTGGGGCTGGAAGAATATTATAGAAGGTTTATTCCTAATTATTCGGAGCTCACCAGCCCGCTGACTGATCTCACTAAAAAGGAAGCACCAGATCCGGTCCAGTGGACAGAGCTGTGCCAACAGGCCCTAACCAAGGTAAAGGCTGCCCTGTGCGGCGGGCCGCTCTTACACTCTCCTAACTTTGATCTCCCTTTCTTGTTGCAGACAGACGCGTCGGACAGGGGGCTGGGTGCAGTCCTGTCCCAGGTGGTTGGAGGAGAGGAGCGGCCGGTGCTGTATCGAGTCGAAAGCTCTCAAAGAGAGAGCCCAGATACAGCACCATTGAAAAAGAGTGTTTGGCCATTCGGTGGGCCGTCCTCACCCTCCGGTATTACCTCCTGGGACGGGAATTCACTCTCTGTTCGGACCACGCGCCCCTCCAGTGGCTCCACCGTATGAAGGATACCAACGCGCGGATCACCCGTTGGTATCTAGCTTTACAGCCTTTTAAGTTCAAGGTGGTCCACAGGCCCAGATGGCAGTGGCCGACTTACTCTCTAGAAATGGGGGGTGAGGGGCTGCAGGCCGGATGGCACCCCGGCCTGAGTCGGGCAGTGGGGGTATGTGGCGAGGGGGGCGTGGGAAGGCGGATAAAGAGGTTTACCCGCCACCCCTGACTTCCTCGTCCTTCAACTCAAACGAACTGTATTACAGTAATTAACCTATTTTCCTTAGTGTAATAAAAACAGCATTCTTGGAATGTCTATTTCCAGACCTCATATTAAGAGATGTTTTGTATTTTTGTGCATATTTTCCAATTAGGATTTTTGGCAATTTCAGGAAACCATTTGTAGCCCCATTAAGAAAAGTGATTAACTTCCAATATAATAATCCACCCATTTGTATTTCCCCATTTATAATCATTACATTTTAATGGGTTACATGGAATATAATTTATATATGTATATATAATTACACATACACACACCCTTTTGTTTGGGATCAGTATGATTTTTTTTTTTACAGAAATTAAAAATAAAGAAACAAATGCTGTTCTTTTGAACTTTCTATTCATTAAAGGTTCATATGAAGATTTCCACAAATATAAAGCAGCACAACTGTTTTCAACATTAATAATCAGAAATGTTTATTGAGCAGCAAATCAGCATATCAGAATGATTTTTGAAAGATCATGTGACACTGAAGACTGGAGTAATGGTGAATATATACACATATATACACATACACATATACATATACACACACATACATATATACACATACACATATACATATACACACACATACATATATACACATACACATATACATATACACACACACACACACACACACATACATATATACACATACACATATACATATACACACACACACATACATACACATATATACACACACTGTATATATACGTTTTTTTAAATGCACTCAGCAGATAGTTAAATGACGTACCTGTCCATTGGTGCTCTATGGCTCGAATATGTGCTTCTGAGAACTTCCAGTGCCAAGCCAGTGTTTTCCACTCGCCTGGTTTGAGATATTTGGTGGCAAGCTTCCATAGGACAGATCGGATATGCTGTGTCTCCTGTCGATGAGCTTGTTTAAAGGTAAGACTCGTTCCCACCAGAGAGTCAGAGTCACTCGTCACATTTTCCTAAGTAAATTAACATTAAAAATAGCACACAATCTTTAATTATTATGACATAAAATATGACTAATGATTTTAGCTTAATGTACACTGAACATACCTTCTCCCATTTGTAAAATCTGTCAGCTTTGATAATCATGTCAACGACATTCACATGGTTGCCTCGTGCTGCAACATCCAGTGACGTCTTTCCCTGCTATAACATTGAAGTGAATATCTTTTGTTTAATTGTTTGATCACAAGTGTATTACAATATTAAAATCCATCATCCACACCAAAGTATGACAACAGTAATTTGCACCTTGTCGAGCAGATTTAGATTGACTCCAGATATCAGGATAATTTCAGCGATGTTCTGCCGTCCGTGTTCTGCTGCTATGTGCAAAGCAGTTTGAAGCCTCTGTAAGGGAAAATAGTTAATTTCACCTTAATCAGTGAAATCATGACTGCATTTGTAAATGTGAAACACTCACATTGTCAAAGATGTCCAGGTCGCATCCCGCATCGATAAGATCCTTCACTATTCCTGTGGAGCTGTTGAGTACTGCCAGGTGTAGAGCTGAAGTATGTTGCTGGTAAGGGAAAAATGTCTGTAAATACTATGGGTTTTCTGAATAGTAAAACTTAAAATTGTAAAGTTTCTGGTGTTTTAGCTCCTGGTTCATGAATAAAGTACATTTTCAAAATGTGCCCAAATCATGCACTCCATATATTGTGATCTTACTAAAATTAATTATTTCGTGTGCATGCATCTGTATTTGCGACCCAGCTAACAGAGAATGTTTTTAGAACTTTAGCTACATTCTGGCAAAATTCTAACAGTTATGAACAAACATCCTTCCAGTAATGTTAATAGAATGTTCAATCAAAATGTACAATAACGTTCTCAAAACATTAGTACAAAAACCATTTATACATCTTTTATGGAACTTTTTTCTGAAGCATTTTAGTTGTACGTTCATCTAAGGTTTAGAGAACATTCAAAGTAACATTCACATAATGTTTGCAAAATAATTCAATTTATTACATTAATTTAATTTATTATAATGTTGCCTTTAACATTGACATAGCCAAAGAAAAACACTTTTTTTTTTTAATTCAGAGAACACTGAGAAATAATGTTTTCATAACAATAACGGCAACAAAATGTTCTTAGAACATTTTTGTTAGCTGGGTATATATACACAATTTACCCATTATGTGTGTAATTAGGGAATTAAGATGTGATCTTATTCATATATTCTTTTAATGTCAGCAGAACTTGAATCACCGACGGTTATTTTACACAGAATGTTGGCAAGAATATCTGAATCCATAATAAAGGTTCTCTACAGCTTGAACTACATGAACTCAAGTTGAATGACAAAAAGCATTTGAAAACAAAACACACAGGAGGTTAGATTCAGGGGACTCCTCAGTCAAACATTTTGAGAATAGACATGCTTTGGACAGAATTAAATCCACACTAGTCCCAAATAGTGCTTTTGTCATGTTCTTAAAGTAAAAAAAGCTGAATGATGCATTAAAACTTCTGATAGCTGTGTTCTGTATAATATTATCTTAAACATGTCTGTTACATAATCAAGATGGCCTTGTATCTAGACTTACTGACACAATAATTAGTCAAAATACTGTACATATACTTAGTACGTGTGTGTATATCTGTTAGGCAGAGCTTTATTATTGGACATTGCTAACAGAGAATCCACTTGTTGCGTTCAATCTGCATGCCATTGTCAGTGAATTTCCCCCCCGAACATTCTCTGCTGTTCTACAGTAAATGTTATAATTCTTGATGGAAGCCAAACATATAAAAAGCAAGCAAGCTGGGGTTTTTAGTACTGACTGCGTCTACTGAATCCAGGTCGATCCCAGCCTGTACCAGCAGTGTGACCTCTCTTCCTGAGCCATGCTGGGCCACCAGATGAAGAGCCGACCTGTTAATCTATAAGAAGAAACACATTACTATGTGCTGTAACTTGATGTACTAAAATCAATTTGAAAATCCAACCATGTCCTCACATGAGTAAGTTCATTGACATTGCAGCCAGCCTCCAGCAACAGTCTGATACATTCATAATGCCCTCCTTCAGCTGCCAGATGTAAAGCCGTCAAGCCGTCCTGATAAAAGATCCCAAATGTGAAGCAAATAAACACCACCAAAACCAAAAAAAAATAAATAAATAACTCTTGCACACAAAACCGGGATCTAATTACAATGTTTTTTTCATCAATGCTCTCCCCGGTCTCCATGATCTTCTGTAGGACGTCACTGTGGCCTTGCTTAGCTGCCAAATGCAGTGCAGTGTTTTCTTCCTGTAGTTCATGAACACCATATTAGTGCTGCATCAATTACTTCTTTTAACTTTGTTATTGCCACTATTTTTCCATTTTTGGTATGTTTTTGTTTTGTTAGTTTAACTAACCAAAGCAGGGCAGGAAAGGCATCTACTGTAGCATGCTGAAATATGTTTAGTTTCTTTTTTCTTTTGTAGTTAGGTCAGATTAATAAATTTGGAGTTGATTCGTTTTCCATTTTGACCTCTGAATTTGGCACCATTCTGCATTGATTTTCTCTTTTCTTATATAATTACTTTTTTTTTTTGACCTCACATGGCGCATAAGAGCTTTCTGATGTCTAAACACACCGATTAAAATAATACAGCGCCACACCGCTCAAGTCTACATATTTTATTTGGATCACATTTGCAAGTTCTTCGAAGAACATTATTCTGAAAACTTTGCTCTCTTTGCCCTCTACTTTGGCATTTTGCATTTAGCAGTAGAGAAAATCGAATTAGCACACACTGTCAGTCCCTCACCTTGTCTTTAAGGTCATGAGCACAGCCCATACCAATGAGAAACTCCACCACCTCCAGGTGTCCATGCTCTGCGGCCAAATGAAACGCTGTCTTACCTGACTGACACACCAGATGGAGACATGTTAGAAAGGACATAATGTAATAGACTCTTAAAAATAAAGGTTCCAACGGGGTTTCATAGTAATGCAATAGAAGAACCATTTTTGGTTCCTCAAAGAGCCTTTCTGTGGACGGTTCTTAATTTAATAATCTTATATTTTATTAATCTGAAGAACCTTTTTACATTATAAAGAGCCTTTTGTGTAATGGAAAGGTTCTCCATGAAACCATGAACCTTTATTTGTAAGAGTAGTTTCCATAAACATTTTACAGCTTTACTTCATCTGTTAATATTCCAATGTGGAATAAAACATGTTTTGACAAAGCACAATGAAACTACTCCAGAATATTGATTGTGTGATAGTTGTACTATTGATCAACTTTGCAAAACATCTAATGGGGAATAAATTTAAACTTGTGTGTAATGAGTAGCTCAATTCACAACAGCTGGAAACAGTCAAATCTGTGTTTTAAGACAACATGACATCAAAATTTGTTGACATTCATAATACATGTCCCACAATCATATAGACTGCATGATTGATCTATTTTCTCCACCTCTGAATTGAATTTCTATAACCAAGGCTGTGGAGGCAGAGAAAAAAAAAAACATTAGCAAATCAATGAAATTATCCAATAAATTCCTCATGGATAAAACTTTGACCTCTCCAACGATTTACAAATTACACTGGAAACAGCTGGAAACAGTCAAATCTGTGTTTTAAGACAACATGACATCAAAATTTGTTGACATTCATAATACATGTCCCACAATCATATAGACTGCATGATTGATCTATTTTCTCCACCTCTGAATTGAATTTCTATAACCAAGGCTGTGGAGGCAGAGAAAAAAAAAACATTAGCAAATCAATGAAATTATCCAATAAATTCCTCATGGATAAAACTTTGACCTCTCCAACGGTTTACAAATTACACTGGAATTTTATGGAGCTATTTGTCTTTTTTGAAGCTTGACAGCTCCTGTTCACTGTCTGCTTTTTACATCAACAAACCTCTTCCTGAAGACAATTCCTTCCTCAAAGTCATTGCTTGATAATGTTTAACTGGTATTTGCATGAACACTGTGCAATCATCACAGTTGTTATCAGTCTCTTAGATGAAAAACAGCTTAAAGTGTCTGCAAATACAGTATGAAGAAGTGATGTGATCCAAACATCATGTGATCAAAACATGAACAAATAGTAACTATTTTGACTAATTCGGCCAAACTGACCACCTCCTTCCCACCCACAGAACTGATCTTACAAATTTGTATCAGTCAAATAGGGCTGTCAAAATGACTGAAACTAAAATTTGAATTTTCCACTTAAATATTAATCAAAATTCGATTTATATTCGAATTTAAAAGGCATAATTTCAGTTAGCGGGGAAAAAAAGCTTTTGACTTCTCTCCTGAGGCCACAAGAGGGCGCATCGAGCAAAATATTATGCACGTTTCTTCAAAGCGTAATAAAATAACACTATCTTTGAAAAAAAAGTGCATAATGTTTAAAATAATGTTTATAAACCATATATAATTAATAAAGTTGCTTAAACAATTATAAAGAAAAAAAACAGCACCATGCATGTATGTATAGTTTAATACAAAGGACCGAAAACCAATCACAAAGAGTAGGCAAATTTCTTCATTTAAAAACATGAGATACAGTGGGATGGGGAAAAACCACCATAAAGTCTTGAGACATGTTTTTTTTTTAAAAGTTGAACTTAAACAAACATGCCGCTCTCTTGTGCGAGACGCAAGTGCAATGCTGATGGATGCCCTGCTTGAAAATGTGATAAATATGCGTTCTGGGTGAACGGCTTGGTTTCAGTTTTGACGTAAACATCTTCGCCACACTGATGCTCTCGTTTTCCGCAATATATTGAATGAACAACATAGCAGCGCCGCATCTAGTGGGTTCAACTGGATAGGCTAACAAAAGCATTAAAATGCAATCACACTTACATCGTCGCATTTCGTGCGCCACTGATAAGGCTGCCTGACGGCTGACGCGGACCTAAAATTCGAATGCAACGTTTTTGCATTCGAATGTGGATTTTTTTTTTTTTTTATTCGACGAATGTTCAAATTCGGAAAAAAAAAATTGAGAGCCCTAATAAACAAAC